TCCGGGGAGCGCAAACTCTGCCCTTCCGCTCTCGAGCCCCGCCTGCTTGGCCTGGCTTCTCCGGCGCGCGCCTGGAGCAGCTCCATTGGAGCCCCCGCTGGAGACTGGTTTAGTTCAGTGAGAGATTGGTTTAGTTCAGTGTTTCTCAACCTGAGGGAGGGGTTGAAATTTTCGGGGGGGGGGGGGTTGAAAATTTCACAGGGGGGGGGGGTTGAAACCTGCCTCCTAGCTCACGCTGAAGCAAAGAGCACAGCAGGGGGCAGAGCAGCCTTCAATAGCCTGCATCTCCGCCCCTGTCAACCACCTCCACCAAGTCTGGCCTCCTTAATGAGAACATTCCCCAACTTGGTTGCTTCACTACTGTTCTCCCTCTGAAAACAGCTCTGCAGCTCGCCCTGGGCTACCCTCCACAGGGCATGGAGGCCTTCGCACCCCTGGCCTGTGCTCTACAGGACTGCCACTGGCCACACCCTCCTGGGCCTGCCCTATGCCCCCTTCCACCGCTACCACCAATGGGGCCCTTCACCCTTCTTTCGGTGGCAGCTACAGTTCTGGCAGCGGTGCTTCCAGCACCCCGGGGGGGGGGGGCAGGGGCAATCAGACTGGTGCCTTCTTTCCTGCTGTTGCATGCTTGGAGAGAAGTGCAGAGCCCCTGGCTGGGCTTCGCGTGGCCCTAAGGACTCCACCGAGCACACTTTGAGAACCATTGGTCTACCCTGTTCTCAAACCAGTATCATGACTATCGGAAGAAAAGAGTTGTATGAAATACTTACATGAAGTGGTATTATGTACTTTCTGCACGTGTTTAGGCCAGTGTTTCAAACAATAGCTCTGTAGGCTTTTTAAATTGGTGGCCATTTGTCGGAGGTGCTTTGAATGTGATTTTCCTGCTTCTTGGCAGGGGTTTGGACTGGATGGCACACGAGGTCTCTTTCATGATTCTATGAATTTGTTTGTAAGTCGGAATAGGTACGTTTTTAAAGTGTAACTCCAGCCAAACATATATATTACCTTTGGATAGCATAGGGAAGTGTCAATACCCCCAGTGTTTGGTTTGTCTCTGCCCCTATTCAGAAGATTTCACATCACTTCCTGTCCCTGCGATAATTGGATTTTGGGGGAAAATAGTTTGTTGAGAAAGTTTCTATGGAGACACCTTTTCCACATAATAACTCTCCCAGAAGTGAATTTCCCTTCCTAGGGGTAGATTTCTCTCACTTCCCATTTTCACACCTCCGTTCTTAACTATGAGTATTTTGTAATTCAGATGTTTGTAACTTGGGGACTGCCTATATTGTAAACTGCTATCACGTTGTGTTTGAATTATGGTCATCCCATGAATGACAGGCTTACCATGCACTCTGTTACAGGCTGAGCATCCCTCTTCCAAAGGTTTGATTTTTTTTCAGATTCTGGCATATGTATAATTCTGGCATGCACATAATGAGAAGTCTTGGAGATGGGATATAAGTCTAAATACAAAACTTATTTATATTTCATATACACCTTAGAAACATAGTAATTTCATACTATATTCTTAATAGTTTTGTCAATGAATAAAAGTTTGTGTATTTTGAACAACTAGAAACAAAGGTGTCATCCACACATATGTACAATTTTAGATTTCAGTATTTTGGATATTGGGATTCCAGATATTAGATGTTCCATTTGTAATATGTGCCCTGCTAAAATCTTGCTAATTCAAGATTGTGTCTTCCTTGATTGAGTCTGTAATGAGGTGTTCTTCTTTTTTAACGTCGTCAACTTTCCTTACAAAAAACCACAAAATGTTAAAGGCAAAAGCATCAGAAGGCTGTGATGTTTTTTGCTATAGTTCTCAGGCTTTCAAAAATATCCAGATGTTTCTGTTGCCTTCGACTGTATTCTGGCAAATCCCACCATCGTATGAATATATTATCCCGACCCTATAGTTGGCTTCTTTTTAATTCAGATATTTATAGGAGCCCCCAGTGGCACTGTGGGATAAACCGTTGAGCTGCTGAACTTGCTGACCGAAAGGTCGGTGGTTCAAATCCGGGGAGCGCGGCGTTAGCCCCAGTGTTGGGACTCAGCCTGTGTTTGAGCCTGAATCTGTAATTGTGTTTCCCCTTCTAATGTTTCTGGGTCTGACTTGGATAGTGAACCTGATGTGATCAATGAGGATGAGGTGCAAAATGGAGACACTTTGGACAATAAGGTTACTGCAGACTCTGATCGAGAAGGGTCAGGGGAAAGGCTAAGTTCTCATGAGAAAGTTCCTGCCACAGCCAGGGAAGAAAGTTTACACCCTTCTCCAGGCTCGAGTTTGCAAGGTAGTTTCACACCTGCTGCAGTTAATGGGGAGATAGATAAGACCAGTTGCCGTCTGGAAATCAGCCAGAACCGCCAAGAGGCCCAATGTTTATGCAGGTCAGAAATAATTCGGCAGTTAAGGCCAAAAACTGGGGGGGGGGGGGGGGAGTAGAAGTCAGTTTTTGGGACTTAAATTGAGCTCTAAGAGAATTTTCTTTAGACCAGGCATTGTTTGGAATCAAGCTCAAGTCTCCTGGATATTCCTGTTTCATGTGGCCCCGTCTCTAAGGATTCCTGGCTTTTGAAGTGGATTAGCAATGGTTAGTCTGTTCATGGTTTTAATTTGAAGGCTTTTGGTTATTCACTGCATTTGGATTATTTCTGCAAGCTTTGGGACATTGTTATTATTCCTATGTTTGGACACTGCTTATGTTGGCACCGGGATTGTGGCGCAGCTGGCTGAGTGTCAGCTGCATTAAGATCACTCTGACCAAAAGGTTATGTTCGAAGCCAGCCCGGGTTGGAGTGGGTTTCCAACCAATTGTGTAGCCTGTTGTCAAGTTTTGCAACCCGAAAGACAGTTGCATCTGTCAAGTAGGAAAATTAGGTACCACCTTAAAGTGTGGGGAGGCTAAATTAACTAATTTATGAGGCCATAAAAAAAAAGACTCCAGCAAGCACTCCGGCAAAAAGCATGCGAGGAATGCGGAAGTACTTCATCAGTGTCGCAGATGGATGATGAAAGCAACAGCTCCCCTGGCAGCCAGAAAAGTTTAATAGCCTCTGTCTATGTCTGTATATGTTGTACATCAAAATTGGCATTGAATGTTTGTCATATATGTGTACACTGTAATCCGCCCTGAGTCCCCTGCAGGGTGAGAAGGGCGGAATATAAAAGCTGTAAATAAATATGTTGCTGCTTTGTTTGGCTTTTTGCTTTTGGACTTCTACTTATTTTATATTCATCTCTTTTATTGGCTCCAGTTATTCTTTAAATAAAAAGGACTCTTCCTTCATTCAAGGTGTGGTGTATTTAATGATTAGAGGGTCCTGTTCCTGCTCTAGGGTGCAACACCCAGGTTCTGACAACCGAGCAATTCGAAAACGTGCAAATGTGAGTAAACCAATAGGTACCTCTTTGGCGAGAAGGTAACAATGCTCTATGCAGTCATGCTGGCCACATGACCTTTGAGATTTCTACGGACAATGCTGGCTCTTCAGCTTAGAAACGGATGCGAGCCCCACCTGCCAGAGTCGGACACAACTAGACTTAATGTCAGGGGAAACCTTTACTTTTACTTTCTTCAATATTCGAAACTGCATGAAATGGTCAATGTAGGTGGGGCCATAGGAAATCCTGGAACCAGTTTTAAGACCTGAATGATGATTACACAAACTATGTTTTTATATTGTGTAAATGCTATTTTAGATTGTAAGTCGCTCGGAGCACCTTGGTGGAGAGCAACTAATTAAGAAATAAAGTGAAGTGAAACTACAGAGCACTGATGTGTAGTAAATGACTTTCTTTTGTTCAGCTGGCTTCAAACTGCATTAAATGGTCAGTGGAGATGGAGCCCTTGACAAAGGTTATGTTTGAATCAAGAGTCCTGTGGGTATTTCTTAGGAGAATTGGGTTAGTGTATTTAGTCAACTTAACAATTTCTCATATTAAAGTTCACAATCCAATAGTCCATTCAAGTATACATGCACTGAAAGAACAACAATGTTTTGATGTTTATCATATCAATGAGAGGAGATGGAGTCTCCTGCTTTTATTGCCAAAATTCTTAAACAGCATGGATCTTACACCAAGGAATAACAACAGGCTTCAGCATTCCCCTGGCCTTCCTTGGTAACTAGTTTTATCTTCTCCCTGTATGGAATAAGATCTGTCAAATGTTTTGGGTTATCTTACAAATCCCAGCTGTTGCTAATCCATTTTGGAAATTACAGTAGCAGTGCC